GGGGGGGGGGGGTGCCATTTCAGAACCAGAAAAAAACAAATCATACACTAAAAGTCAAACACTTACTATAGCATACTTTAATTTTATTACAAAAAATATTTTGGTCATGATTTGTGTACTCTATAAAGAGGTGGTTGCATAATAACTTCAAAATAAGTCTTACTCTTGTATATTGTGGGGGAGGGGTGTGCATGGAGGGGGTTGTGAGGTGGTGTGGCTGTGTGTGGAAGGGCACATCTGTATACAGCTGTTAGTGGGGGTTGCGGGGTCAGGGTGTGGGTGTGTGAGGTTTGTGGAGTGTGAGGGAGGGTGTGTGGGGGGTGGGGACTCCCACACTCCACTACATGGTTGGCAGCCCCTGTGGCAGGCAGCAGCAGCAGGCAGGGGCACTCAGGGTGCTCATGCTTGACGCAGGCAATGGCACCCCACACCAGTGCCCGAGTACCCCTACCAGCTGCTTCTGCCAGCAGCAGGGTCTGCACGTCATGTGGGGAAGTGTGTGGGGGTCCCCACACTCCTCCACCTCCCTCACACCCACACGCTGCCCACCCGAGCTCCTGCTGCCCCATCTGGGCATGGGCTTTGTGCTACTCTCCATGCTGCTGCCCAGCTGCAGCTCTACCACCCCCACCCCGCCCTTCCACTTCCCCACCTGCTGCCTGGAGTGAGCCAAATGCCTGGGAAGTCAAACAGGTTCCCATGGGGGTGGCTGCTGCTGCCGTAGCAGCTGCCACCCTGCCAGCAACCCTTCTGCCCATGAGGGTGGGAGGGAGGCATAATATGGTATGTTGGGGGGGTATGAGTGAGTGCCTCCCTCCCACCGTCCTGGGTGGAAGGGCTAGGTGGGGTACAATTCATTGGTGGGTGCTGCGGGCCAGATGGAAGTGCTTGGTGGCCCAGATTCAGCCCGTGAGTCATATTTTGCCCACCCCCGATTTAAAATATTATCCAGAATCAAATTATGAAAATCCTATATTAACAAAAGGTCCTTTAAGTCACAAAGCTCTCATCTGAAGATATACATTTTTAGTAGTACTTTTTTTAATGGTTAAGATTTTGCTTACACAAGAAACAAGCTTGTAAACATACTTACTCTATCTAGTTTGAAAATAAAAACCTGGTAGACAACTGACCATATATTTGAGTGAACTTCATCCTGCCCACCAAATTTTTGCATGCACAAAATCTGCAGATTCAAAATCCATTTCACAAAATAAAAAGCAGATTTATTTTAGATGCATATTAATGCTTTTGTATATGCAAAGACTTGAAAGAAAATGTTCACTCAAGCTTGTATGTCACAGATATGACTGACATTTTGGAAGTCACTTTTGTCTAAAAAGATTTTATATATAACAATGATAAATAATGCAATAAGGATGAACTTTCACATGACAATTAACACACATTTATTACTATTGTAAATCCTGATCAATGTTTTCAAAATCAACTAGTAATTTTGGGCACCTCAAATTCTGAATGTCCAACTCTTTAAAATGGACTTGTCTTCAGAAAGTGTTGAACAACCAACCTCTGAAAACTAGGACTCTCGAAGCTGGGCACCAAAAATACTAGTCACTATAGAAAACTCTGCTCACTTATTATACCTTACAAATGGCCAGCTTAAGTGGTGCGTAAATGATAAAAGCAATTTTAAAGCCACATCTAAGTGTTTTCTACAAATGACACCCATGCAGAGGCAATAGAAAATTACACACATTTAAAAGCAAAAGCAATTTGCATGTTTTTCAGAAGGTGATGATCCAGCCAAATGGAAATGCTCTCACTCAAATAGCAAGCCTTCAATTTAAAATAAAGTGCATATACGGAACCGTCTTCATAATAAACTCAAGATACTAAAGGCCTGTAAAAGGGCAGCAACATTTAGCATGGGAAGAGCAGGTGTCACTAAGCCCTAGTGACAGCTTTAAGCAGCTACTTGCTTCCCAAACTTACCATCTTCCTTTTCCTTTCTGCAATCTGCTCCTCTGATTCCATTTCTACTTCATTGCTAATGGGAGTTTTTTCTTCTATATCATCAATAAAATCTGGCTCCTGAAAGATGGAAATGACTGCTTTACAGAAGCTCCACTACTACTCTTGCAACCTAGGGAAAACTAAAGGCTACAGAGAGCTAAGAATCCTCAGGTCACTACTTCAAAAGCAACCAGCCAAAAGACTAATGCAACATGTAAAAAGCTACGTATCATCATCCACTTGAAACCTTTTATAACCCTAGATATAATCTCCTGGCAAAAGTATCTTCTCCAATCCAAATATATGAACTTCCCCATCATTTTCTTTAATATGTCAGTCTCACTCAAGTTTTTTCACCCAAAATTATAAGAATTAAGTTTGCAAAGTAATAGGAGCTGCTAAATACTCCACACTTTTAAAGATCAGGCAACTCATAAGCAGCTAAAAAAAGGAACCTAATGTAAAACATCCATAAAAAAAAAATCTTTCTACTGTTTTTTTAAATTAAATATAAGGCATATCATCACAAGACAGGTTAGCTGTCATACTCGTATAAAATTTACGATCAACTCCAACCTCTGTACCTACAAAAGGGAGCTTTTCCAATGAAGCTCTCCACTATAAACTAACAGCAGTACCTCCAAATGGGAACACTAAAAGTGTTTTATAAAAGGAGAATGCTTCTGACTCTTTCAGGTCTCTTGTAACAAGGATAAAATTAAGAACTCCAAAGTTAAAAACAGTGTGTATGATTTTACTTTTTAAATAAAAACAAACAAACAATCTGTAACCAAAAGTTCTACCAGTTTTCTTATTTCTGGTTGCCTTAGATAAAAAAGTTTAAATTATTTTTTTCCTTTAGTAAACTGCTATAAAAAAAAGAAGTGTCACAGCACTTAATAAGCATTGCACAGTATTCTTAAGTGCCCAGGAACAGGTTCCAAATACCAGTTATTACTAGGGACTAATCGGGCAAGAAAATGTACTTACTAGTAAGATCACAGTTTGATCATATTGCCTTAACAGATCAACACCTGTAGGAGTCACATGCCACGCCTTCTAAACCCAAAACCATTCTAAAGCAGTCTAGGTATTTGGGGCATTGTGGCAGGCTTGCCCATCAAAAACTGGCAAATTAATTCACATAAATTTTTTACATCAGCTTCATCACCAAATCCCTGACCTCCATTCTCATTTTGGTCACTCTACTTTTACTGTAAGAGGGTGGCAAAAATTTGAAAATGGCTTCCATCCAGTAATACATGTACAACTTACACATCATTTACAACAAAATAGATTATTCATCAGTATAACATATGGATCAATTTTTGATCTCTCTTCTGCTGCTGTAAAATTTCTCTTCACTAGCTGTGGTGTGCAGCTTTTCCCAAATTAGCATCTATGAAAGTATTACTATGTTATTTACCTGTTTTTTCATGGCAATATATTTAAAAAGAACCATTATAAAAATGACTCCTGTATTTTACTAGACCTGCCACCACCACTCAAGATCAGCATATGCCCTTTCATCATTACCTTCCAGTTTCAAGCTTTCAACTCATATAACAGCATACAAGAAAGGCATATGAGGATATTACTGTAAAAACATCTCTGGTGAAAACCTGACAGCCAAAGCCATTATGAATGCAGGGTTATTAATACCTGGGGCTAAATCATCACATCCATGAGAACAAAGTGAATGCAACTAACAATAAACCACTCCAAGATGTTTTTGGGATCTTGAGACATGGCATGAGGCTTTTACATTAGAGATCTGAAAAGAATTTCTGGTTTATATGGATATGTTTCAATGAGGGACAGAGAACTGGTTAAGGGAAACAAATACTTAAAAACAAAAAAAAGAAAACAGTTCTTTAAAGAGAACTGGAAAGAGTAAGCACATTATAAAGCAGCTTATTCACTATTTTAAAATAGTAAACA